GCGCAACACAAGCCGGAAAGCTGTACATTACACCTGAAACGAGCCCCACCTATAATACGAGCATGCCGAACACAAGTTCCACAAAAGTCCCACAAAAGACCTAATCCAATCCGAAGACCTACACAAATGTCGATTCATGCCGAAGTCCTACATTAGACAAAAGCGCAACCACGCTGGACACGATGTTCGCCTGCCTACACAAGTCCAACACACAAGCTCATCCAAGCTTGACACGATGTCGAGAAGTTCGGGAACGTCACAGGGCCTGACCCATTGTGAAAGCCATGACTGGATCGAAGGAGCACGCAGAGAGAATTTCCTTCTCCACATTTGTTCCGCGCGCAGATTTCCCAATGCTCAATTTCTTGTCAAGAATCCCGGGGCGGATGCATCCGACTCATAATTTGGGAAGATGTCAAGTTGTAAGGCGATACCATGTCCCGTCGACATCCCTTCCCTGTGAGACTTGGGATCGTCGGGAGGGGCATAGTTCGGATTCATCCGAGCCCGGTTCGCAGGAACCATTCTCACGATTCACAAACTCCCCCCCCCCCCCGACAAGTCCCGCCGCGCCCGGGGTTGTGGTTTGGATTAATCCGAACCACCTGACGAACAACAGTGATGGGTAACTGAGATGTCCTGCGAGCAGACCGTCCTGTACTTTCAACGCGGACGAGAATATGCAAGACAATCCATAGTGTCCCCCCTTCGTCAGTTCGTGATTTAAACAAACGACGACGTGCCCCCTCCGTTCGACCACGTCTTCGGTTGTGGTTCAGATGCATCCTAATCACAGAAACACACAAACGGTTATCGCACACCTGAAAATTCGCATATGAAAACTGTGAAGTGGGAAAAATAATGTTGGTTTGTGCATTCTGAAAATAGTTTTTCAATCATGAAATCGAGAGGAGGGTTAGGTTGTTCATGGTGAAACCACATAGTAAGCTGAGTTCTTAACTTTTCATATCAAACATGATCTTGAAACACATGTGTATTAAGCTACCCGAAAATCATAAAGCATCCCGAAGTAGCTTGAACAATGGCTACAAGAGTTGCTTTCATGGTCGTCGGGACGTTCATCACTCCGGGATGTTTCATGGTTTTCGGGTATTTGAACAAACGGTAATAAGGGTTGTTTTCATAGTCTTCGGGACGTTCATCACTTCGGGACGCTTCATGATTTTTGGGTATTTTAAACAGATGGCCACAAGGGTTGCTTTCATGGTTTTCGGGATGTTCATCACTTCGAGATGCTTCATGATTTTCGGGTAGCAACCCTTATGGCATCCCGAAGCTACCCGAAAATCATGAAGCATCCCGAAGTGACGAACGTCCCGAAGACCATGCAAGCAATCTTTATGACTATCTGTTCAAGCTACCCGAAAATCATGAAGCATCCCGAAGTGATAAACGTCCCGAAGACCATGAAAGAAACCCTTATGGCCATCTGTTCCAGCTACCCGAAAATCATGAAGCAACCCAAAGTGATGAACATCCCGAAGACCATGAAAGCAACCCTTATGACCATCGGTTCTAGCTCCCCGAAAATCATGAAGCATCCCGAAGTGATGAACGTTCCGAAGATCATAAAAACAACCCTTATGGTTATCTGTTCCAGCTGCCTGAAAATCATGAAGCATCCCGAAGTGATGAACGTTCCGAAGTCCATGAAAACAACCTTTATGGCCATGTATTCAAGCTACTCGAAAATGGTCATAAGGGTTGCTTTCATAGTCTTCAAGACGTTCATCACTTCGGGACACTTCATGATTTTCAGGTATTTTGAACAGATGACCATAAGGGTTGCTTTCATGGTCATCGGGACGTTCATCACTTCGAGATGTTTCATGATTTTCAGGTAGCAACCCTTATGACATCCCGAAGCTACCCGAAAATCATGAAGCATCCCGAAGTGACCACGTCCCGAAGATCGTGAAAACAATCTTTATGACTATCTGTTCAAGCTACTCGAAAATCATTAAGCATCCCGAAGTAATGAACGTCCCGAAGACCATGAAAGCAACCCTTATGACCATCTGTTCCAGCTACCCGAAAATCATGAAGCAACCCGAAGTGATGAACATCCCGAAGACGATGAAAATAACTCTTATGACCATCGGTTCTAGCTCCCCGAAAATCATGAAGCATCTTGAAGTCGTGAATATTCCGAAGATCATGAAAATAACCCTTATGACCATCTGTTCAAACTACTGGAAAATCATGAAGCATCCCGAAGTGATGAACGTCCCGAAATCCATGAAAACAACCTTTATGACCATCTGTTCAAGCTACTTCAAAAATGGTCATAAGGGTTGCTTTCATGGTTTTCAAGACGTTCATCACTTCGGGACACTTCATGATTTTCATGTATTTTGAACAGATGACCATAAGGGTTGCTTTCATGGTCTTCGAGACGTTCATCACTTCGAAATGATTCATGATTTTCAGGTAGCAACCCTTATGGCATCCTGAAGCTACCCGAAAATCATGAAGCATCCCGAACTCGAAGTGACGAACGTTCCGAAGACCATGAAAGCAATCTTTATGACTATCTGTTCAAGCTACCCGAAAATCATGAAGCATCCCGAAGTGATGAACATCCTAAAGATCATGAAAGTAACCCTTATGACCATCTGTTCAAGCTATCTGGAAATCATGAAGCAACCCGAAGTGATGAACATCCCGAAGTCCATAAAAACAACCCTTATGACCATCTGTTCTACCTACCCGAAAATCATGAAGCATCCTGAAGTGATGAACATCCCGAAGATCATAAAAGCAAACTTTTTGGTCATCTGGTCAAGCTACCCGAAAATCATGAAGCATCATGAAGTGATGAACGTCCCGAAGTCCATGAAAGCAACCCTTATGACCATTTGTTCAAGCTAGCTGAAAATAATGAAGCATCCCGAAGTAATGAACGTCCCAAAGACACAATCGGTTATCGGGTAGCTGAAAATTCAGGAATGAAAATTATGAAGTGAGAGTTTTTGGCAGTCTGAAAATCATGAATGGTCCTGAAGTGGTGAAAGGTCCGAAGACCCTGAAAACCACCTGTTTACGCAGGCTGCAACCTGAAGTGGTAAAGGGTGTCCTGAAGTGGTCAAGTGAGAGTTTTATGCAATCTGAAAATCCTGAATGGTCCTGAAGTGGTGAAAGGTTAGAATACCATGAAAACCACCCTTCACCACCCTTCACCACTTGAGGATGCAGCCTGCCTAAACAGGTGGTTTTCAGGGTCTTCGGAGCTTTCACCACTTCAGGACCATTCATGATTTTCAGGCCTGAATCGTCCAGAAGTGGTGAAAGGTCCAGAAGTGGTGAAAGGTCCGAAGACCCTGAAACCCACCCGTTTAGGTAGACTGCATCCTGAAGTGGTGAAGGGTGTCCTGAAGTGGTGATGAAAAATACGACTATTGTTAACCTTCTCTCCAGAAACAAGGCGAGCAGCAGGAAAGGATCACGAAGGTAAGAATTCCTTTCTCCACGTTTGTTGCTCGTTGCGATTTTTTGAAGTTTAATTTCATGTCAAGAAACGTGGTTCGGATGGATCCGATTCATAATTTTAAAAGACGTTAACTTGGAACGCGATTCCCTGTGCCTTCATTATCCCTTCCCCGTGAGACTTCGCGTCACAGAGAGGGATGTGGTTTGGATTCATCCGAGCCCGGTTTGGATGGTTCATTTTCGTAATTTCCAAATGCTTTCCCGGTTCCTGAGGCACCGAGCGATGTGATTCGGATTCATCCGAACTACATCAAACATCTCGGAGTGAGGCGGACCTGACACGTACTGTGTGATGATTGCATTCCCCCATCAGGAAGAACAAATAGCTGACAAAAGCCAGGAGTGTCGTCCCTACCTCCTATTCGGTTGTGGTCCGGATGAATCCGAACCCGAGAAGAAGACAACAACAGAGGGGGGAGCTGAGATTCACAAAATCGAATATTGTCATTCGCAAATACGTTGATTTGAAGTCGATGGCCCCCATGGAATTCTTGACGCTACCCCCTCCCCAAGGCAGCGGGTCACCTTCCCGTTCCCGCTACACGTCCCCCGAGCCCCCTTCGGTGAGTACGAAAGCCACAGCTCGGATTAATTAGAGTTGAAATGTGGTCGCCGGTTATAGATCTCTGATCAATCTGTGAATTGATTGATGACTTACTTCAACACAGATATGAACACGCCGTCGTCGTCGAACACCATGTCCACGCCAACGTGTGGCGTGTTCGTTTCTTGTCGTTTGCGATGGGATGCTGTACGGAAGGCGGCGCTATGACGACGTCGAGGTGCGGGATGGGTCTTCCCTCTATGTCGCCAATGCGCGCGGGGTGTGTGCCGGCCGGTGACGTGTGGGTTCATCAGTGTTGGTTGTGTGTGCAACAAGGGACGATGAGTCTTGGCGGTGTGCGGTGGGTCTTCGCATTGGGGAAGTTCGACAAGTTGCATGCGATGGTTATAGCTGCATGTTTTGTGAGAGTTGTATACGCAACGGTCTAATCACAAGCCTACGGGATAATGAGGGACAGCCGGCACAAGATCCGAGAGACGGCAAGACACGCGATAGGCAGACTGGATCATCAAGCCGTTCGGTGAGTTCCATGGCGCAACGACGGCATCCTCACAGCGTCACCATTCCGGCAGCATATCATCGCGAAGGGGCAAGATCGAATGTTTCACGCCACAACCACAACATCCTCAGAGCACAGCCATTCCCGCAGCATCCCATCGCAAAGGGGCAAGATCGAGGTCGTTGTCAGTGCAACTCAGAAGGATGAACACTGCCAGGCAATCAATCTTCTCCTTAGCTAAGCCAAACGCGCGCCGCCAAGATCAATCGCCCGTATCGAACACTCAGCCTGCAGAGAGGAAGTTGGCCGTCCCCGAGCGCCGCGCACCATACTTGCTTTCGCGATCTTTCTCGAAGACCCGACGCAATTCTTCGAGAAAGATCGCGACACAGGGGATTTATCTTGGCGGTGCGCGTTTGGTTTAGCTCAGGAGAAGATTGATTGCCTGGCAGTGGTCAGGATTGCAGATGAATTCGTCGTGCGAGTTGAGCGCTCAGCGTTCCGATGACGAGCACGTAAGATGATGGGATCACCACAACGATGGCACAACATCCGAAAAACTTCAGGACAGACGATGGGAAGACGGGATCAGGAAGTCGATCGGGACGCGATCTCGAGGACATCAAGAACAACGACCATGCGACGTCGTCCACGCGTCAGATGTGTTCGTCGTGGGCATCGAAAGATCTTGACTGCGAAAGCCGCAAGCTGATGCCATTTGCTGACGTCATGCAGAAGATGATGACGTCAGCATATGTCAGTAGCTCGCGACTTTCGTGCTTTTAATCAGCACACGCTCGTCCGCATGCCGATTGGTTTCGCCATCGTCAAGATCGTGTGCCGATGGACTCGTGCGAGAATGAAGAGGCAGAAGAGGAAGTGGATGGGCGATTGCATTCCGATCTCTTCAGGAAGATGGGGAAAGACGGGCCGAAAATCAGGGAGGAAGAAGATGTGGATGGGCGATGCGAAGACGCAGGGGCTTGGAAGAGTAGAGGGGCCGAGCACTGGACGTAGGCCTATTACTGACCTGCGAGCCGATAAAATCCTCAAATGCACGTACGAAGAGGCCAGAGCGAACGCGTTCACACGCAAGGTGGCGCGTCACGTGGCGTTTACGTAAGCGCCCTTGGTTGTCGACGATGGCACGGAACAACGACGCCCTCAAAGCTCTTGTGGCCTGCGATATAACAGCGGGCATTTTCTAGCGATGGCAGACGAGTCGCTGCTGTAGAGCTCGGAGCAAATGACACGAACGAACGGGGTCGACAACACCCCGGTCCGATTCATGCTGCCAACAAGCACGTTCGTCACAGGCGGCCGCAAGGTTCGTCCCGACGGAGAGTCGCGTCGGGAGCTCTATCGTCAGGTGGGCCCTTTACGTAACCGTTATAGGAGGGCGGGCCGTAATTGAGAGGCCTGGTCAGTTGCAACCGCCCGATCACGCTCGATCGACGATTGCTATATACCAGCTGGCGGAAACTTTTCCGCCCGCCTTTTTTCTTTCTCGGGGGCCCGCAGGGATGCATCCGCCTTTGGAATGACGCCACTGCCAATCGGCAAATTCACGCCACTGGGCTGCAGCCGTAGGCACACGCAGGTCCCGAAGACCGTCCCATCTCGAAATCCCGCTTTCCGGACCCGTTGCCGGAGGGCGGGCTGTAATTTGGAGGCTCTGTACGAACCACCCGATCGCGCTATATCGACAGCTCCCATGAACCGGTTGGAGGAAATTTTCCCGCCCACCCTACTTTTCGGGGCCCACACGGATGCATCCGCCATTCGAATGACGCCGACGCCATCCTGCGAATTTGCGCCACAACGCAGGCAATTGTAGGTACCCGCAGCGCAGGCAATTGTAGGTGTCGCCAACCAGTCTCGCGCCAGCACCTTCCGCCTTTGCCGTCGCCATAGCCATTGCGTTGCCAGACATACCACTATCCATGTCCTGCTTGCCTTCGCCATATCCCTCGCGTCACCATCTCCCGTATCGCCATCTCCAGGGTTGCCATCTCCCGTATCGCCATCTCCAGGGTCGCCATCTCCCGCGTCGCCATATCCCGCGTCGCCATCTCCCACGTCGCTGTCTCCTGCATGGACATTTCCCGCGTCACCACATCCCTCTTCTCGCCATATCTGTCATCGCCATCCTCCGTGCCGTCGTTTCCTACGTCGCGACCCGCACCGTCATTTTCTGCGTCGATACTAGCACCCACGTCGTCGACGCCGTCGTCATCCCGCAGCGCTTCTAATCCAATGACGAAAAAGGTGCGTTCTCTCCGTCTCTCTCTCTCTCTCTCTCTCTCTCTCTCTCTCTCTCTCTCTCTCTCTCTCTCTCTCACACACACACACACACACACACACACACACACA